CTGCCCCTGAAGTGATGCTGACGAATGTCAAGGGAGATAAATCCCCTTCAGTGTCGTCCAGTCTGATATTTGTGGCATTTGAGCCAAGAAGGAAAATAAATCTGATTATAGTGCATTTAGTGTGTGTGTGAGTGTGAGAGAGAGAGAGAGAGAGAGAGATGCTTATGAAACTCAGCTTCTTTCATACATAGGCCTCAATATTCTTACCTATTCTGGTCTTGGCTAATCTTACTGTCCTTTGAAATTAACATTGCTGCTTTCTGAGATATTTTTTGCTTCTTCCTCACTATGATTAGATGGATTATAAATTATGTAATGTAATAGAACGTTCATAAATATTTTATACTGCTTTCCAAACAGTCCATCTGATCCACAGGATCTATTCATTTTTTAGTTTCCTAACAGATTTCCTTGCTTTTTGTCCAACTGATGAAAGCTTTCCTCACATATTTTTAGAAATTTGGGAATATAATATTTGCGACCATTTTTATCAAGAAACAAATGCTCTCCTTTATTATGTGTAGATTTTTTTATTTTTTTCTTTTCTTTTTCTACCTTATTAAGTAGGAAATTCTTTCTACTTTAAGTCAAAGCCTGCTATAAAATTATTCATCTATTTCTCCAGCTTTCTTTTAAAACTCCAATAGCCAGGCAGCAAATCTTCAATGTAATACTAAATCTATTGTTTAACACCCCCTTGGCACCCCCCCCCAATAACAAACTATGCCCCCAATATATGATATATTGGATTTTCTTGGGCTTTTTCAAAATTAGAGTATTCATGGTTCTGTCTGAATCCAGTATGCAATTAAGTCCAGTTATAGCACTAGATGGTTAGCAGTTTTGTCTTACAGGAATTGGTAGGAAGCTAAAGCTAGCTCCCCCCTACGTATATGATCTCAGAAAATATAGTATATTTTCATGTAGCTTTAATATGGTTTCTTGCTACTTGATTCTTCCTTGTAAAACTATAAAGGACATGACCAAATCCTGAATGCAAATAATGTATGGTATCATCATCTGATTAGCCCACCGGTAACACAGTATAATCATTAACAATTGCTTTGTTAATCTAAAAGGAAGGTCTTTAAATTTTAGTCTCATTCTCAAGAAAGCTCTGCATTATCGTATGTTTCATATCCAAGTTTTCCTTAGAATTACATTATCCAAGGTGTGCTTGTGTAAACCTGCTTGTTTTTTCTTTTGAGTTTATTTTACTTGTGGTACTAGAAATTTGTTTTGTGGAAAAAATGGCGTACTGTGAGTAATGCTGTATTCATTTGTTTTATTTTTGCAGTGCACAGATGCAGATGGACCATGTGTTGACCGTGCAGTAGCCTGGTGTGAGATGATAGATGCCCATTATTTCAGGTATGTGCAATGTACAAATAGGGAGGCGGCCGGGGTCTTGGACGGGATCGCGCCCATGCAACCTCTCTTGCCACATCAGCCCCGACACTCCCCGTGGTTTACGGAGGAGTTGAGGGTGCTGAAGAGGGTCAAGAGATGTCTAGAGTGCTGCTGGAGGAAGACAAAGACCCAGTCCAACTGAACACAGGTTAGAGCCATTATCAAGGCCTACATTGTGGTGATAAGAGTGGCGAAGCACCAATACTTCTCCGCCCTTATCGCGTCCGCAGAGTGCCGCCCGGTGGCCCTGTTTGGGATTGCTAGATCCCTCCTTGGTAAAGGGGATCTAGTGATTCATTTGCAGGGCTGCCTGGAGGAATTTTCAGAGCATCTGCAGGACAAAATCGCTCAGATTTGTTCCAGGTTAGACTCTGAGCATGGGGCAGGGTCTGGGGAGATACCAGGGGATCGTTCTTACCCAGTTGTCTGGGAACAGTTCGATCCTGTTGTTCCTGAGGAAGTGGACAGGATCCTCCAGACTGTGAAGGCCACCACTTGCCATTTGGACCCATGCCCCTCCTGGCTGGTGAAAGCAGCTCGGGAGGTGGCATGTGGTTGGGTCCAGGTGATAGTTAATACATCCTTGCGAGAGGGAGTGTTTCCATCTGCCTTTCAAGAGGCGTTGGTGCACCCCAAGAAACCCTCCCTGGATCCTACCATACTGGACAATTTCCATCCAGTCTCCCACTTCCCCTTTTTGGGGAAGGTGGTTGAGAAAGTGT